CCCAACTCCAAATCACATTGCCACTGCCCCGAGACAAAAAACAGATCAAACACGTGCCCCTCACTGTGAATCATATTGTCAGTGAAGCAGGAGCACAGTAAAGTCAGAAGAGTTAAGTAATTGCTTTACTTGTCACACACGTGATCAAGACCACACCATTCAGCACTGGTGCAGAACAGAGACTATAAAGGCATAATGGAGATCGGAAATGGGGGCAGCAGATTTCAGGTTGATGGAGTTTTCTGTGGTTCAAGGATGGGTGGATAGCACTTTAATACAGCAATGGGGAAAGGGCTAAGTACAAATTAATTCTTAATTCAATTCATGTTATGGCCTTGTACCAGCATTCCAACAACACGATGCCAGGAGTGATGAGTCTCAGACTCCAAGTCCCACCTGACCCTTCTTTTTCTCTGCAAGGGATAATCATGCAGATCTTGTCTGTTTTCTTCCATCTTCTAAATGCACCATGGCATTCTTTGGCCATCAGAACAGCTTCCCCTAGCAGATGGCACTAAATACTACCATTGAATCTGAAAGCAGAACCAAAGATTCCTTAAGACATTCCCTTGGCTACATTAGGAAGGCTCTGCATCTTTTTAAGGCACTTCTCTCTGTCTGAAGTAAAGCCAGATTTCTGCACACTACAGGCATTACTGATGAGGCTTCAAATCTGCTTGAAAAGCAAATTAAGCTCCCAGCTGATTAGTCAAGGGTGTTGCTGGGCAATTTCCATCATAAGAGGTCTGGGGTTGCAAGGCTGTGTGAAACTATAAGTTTCCCTTCATTTCATGCTACTAAAAATATTAGTATTTTATTCTTGGTATTCAGGTTTCTTCTTGGTTTCTGAGATTCTGAGAGGTAGATATTTCCCATGTCACTTTGAAAATGCAACCACCTGTGATTATGAGGGAATTCCATCATATGCCGAGTACAGCAGCCCACCGAAATCTTGCATATTACCTAGTTCTGATTATTTTATTTATTTATTAATATTTTTCAAATTTAGTCCCCACCCATCTCACTAGGAAGCTCATCAGGTGCTCATCAGCCCCTCAAACAGGGGCACGTGTTTGATCTGTTTTTTGTCTCGGGGCAGTGGCAATGTGATTTGGAGTTGGGGGTGTTGTCATCAGTCCCGTATCATGGAGAGATAACTTCCTGTTAGCCTGGAGTTTTTGAGGACTGCCCCCCACTGCAGGAGAGAAGGACCTATTTGAACAGTCCACCATAGGTGCCTGATGGACCCTGAGTCATGGCTAGGAGGGCTTTTGCACAATTACATCTTATACACCAGTTGCACCCATTCCTAGATTGGGAGGCACTGCTTTTGATCACAAACACTGACCATCAGGAGGCACCACATGGCCAGTTTTATCTTTTCTGGGATTCATCAGACATAGGAAGCAAGATGTTACTCTGTGGGGTTCAAACCCTGTACCAGGAACCAAACTCACTGACCTTCACACTTCAGATGACCATTTACAGTATATGCAGATGGGGCTTGGGGCATGACATAATGTAACATAAGCTTCTCTGTGCTCTGAGAGGTTAAGAGAAGGTGGACTGTATATACTATCCTGAGAATTTCTATATATCCTTCCAACTCATTAGCAGTAGGACCTGGACAACTCCTCAGGCTAATGCATTGTATATGATCATCTAAAGTGCAAAGGTCCATGAATTCAATTCCCTGGCAGAAGGTCTGAACCTCATGGAATATCATCTGGCTACTGGTGTCCAATGAATCCCAAAAAGGATGAAATTGATCTCTTAGTGCCTCCTAGTGGTTAATATAACTGAAACTACTACACAGGATATACACTGTGTAAAAACAGAGAAATCCTCCCCCCCTACACCAAGAGGGAGGGGTGGAAGACCCTAAACACAGGAGCATGACATAAACTAACATCAGTATTTCTTTGCTTTGAGAGTTTAAGGGAAGGTGGACTGTATATTCCATTCTAGTTATATTTCTTTCATTGCTTGAACACTTGGGGGTGCTGTTACACAATTATGACACTCAGGAAGTTGGAAGAATTTATAACTCCAAAGTTAGAAATCAATTGTTTGTTTTAACATGAATGTTTAAACTCACCTTTAGATTGTTTCTACTTTGGTTTAATATATCTCTCATTAGTGAACTGATCCCCATTTTTTGTGTGTGTAGGAGCGGCTGGAAAGCATCTTCATAGTCAATGCTATCAGGTTTACTACTACTCATCTCTTTAAGGTGGGGGAAAAGGAAGCCACTTCGATTCATTCAGACGTGTCCCCATACAAGTAATCCATAATGCTCGTGCCTTGTGACCATTAAGTAAAATCTGCACAATCCATTCCCTTGATAAAAGTACCTCTTTCACCATTTCCAGGACCCAACACATTGTCACCAAATGGAAAGAGGAGGAGGAGATGACAGTGGGGGAAGACCCACAGCTTCAAGTTATGAAAATTGAAGAAGTGGAAAGCTGAGAGGGTGGAGGGACAAAACAGGAGTTGCAAATATTGGAAGGCAGGATAGATTAGGGTTTTTTTTCCCGAGACTCTGATTGCCTCTGAAAAAAATTACCAAGTTTTGTCTAGACTAATTTATAATTTCTAGATTAATCTGAAATGAGATTCAGATAAATACCCATTTGTACTCCTGAGGATAGGTTGCAG